CTTAGAGGAGGCAGTACTTGAAATAGGAGAATCCAGGGAGGGGAGTCCTCACACCTGCCTACAATAATGCTGGGAACAAGTTGCTGTTTCCGCTGCTTTGGATCCAGGAGGAGAGAACCCATTGTTTGGCTTGCTGTTTGGCCCCTTTCCTACCACCTAATCCTTCCCCTTCCCATTGTCTGTAGGCCTCTCCTCAAGATCCAGGATGCAGCTGCCACAGCCATAAAAAGATGGGAAGAGGCTGGAACAAGTCGAGATCATCCCAGAAAAAACAGAAGCTTCAACTAGTGGTCTTTTTTCCAAATGAGCTGCAAAGGAACCAGGCAGGGGGCTCTGCCAATATGGCCCTGGGCATCAAGCACAGAAAAGTCAGACATTAAAGGTGGACATATCCAGATTCAAGTGCTGCATCTGGAACTGATTTACTGTGTGTCCCTGGACAAGCTTCTACCAGTCTGTAAGCATCAGTTTCCTTCTTGTTTAGAGCAAGAAGATGTTTCTGTACTAAAGATTAAATTACTGCAGTGAATATTAAAACAAAAATGCCTGATACATAAGTACTTAACAATATTTATTTATTTATATTTCTTCTTCTCACTTCAACCATAACAAAACATCCAGAAAAAAATGCCAAAGAGGGATCTTGTAGCAAATGGAAGCATGCTTTCCATTAAGTAAATGGAGATGTATCTCCACAACTGAGGTATCATCAAGATCACATTGTAAATGTAAAATAAATCATACTAATTTAAAATCACATTACTAGTACATCTGGCATTTGTTGAACACTTACTATGAGTCAGACACATTACTTCTGCCCAATTACTCTGTGCACTAGGTACTATCAAGGCTTGGATGGGTGTGACTGATGCAGGTGTGCAGAGTGCCGCTCTCAGAAGGGAGCGCCACACTTGTAGTTTCATGCTGTGTGGCAACCAGCTTGAAATTCATAACATGGTACAGCACTTTTGAATTTTTGTTCTGTACATGAAGTCTGATGGAACATAGAGAACACACGGAGGATTTTGTGCCTCCATTCACACAGAGTCCTGCCTCCTTCCCTCCTTTCCCTGATATGGATTCTTGGCTGCCTGTTCCCACCTCCCTAGCCAACCCCTCTTTTTCCCAGTCTCCCCAGTTCTGTAGGCCTGGATGTAGGAACAAGGAAAGGAGAGGAAGTTGTGCATGCCAAGTCGTGAAACAGATTCCTGCACTCCTACCACACTTTGCACTAACCTTGTATCACCAGGCCCAAGGGAATACAACATTAAGTAGGGAACAATAAGCAGCATAGTAGCCAAATCTCGGAAGGCGTATGTCCATCAACAAATAAATGAATAAAGAAAATGAGGCATTTATACACAATGGAGTACTACTTCACCATAACAAAAGAAAACGCGATCATTTGTAGGAAAATGGATGTACCTTGAGACCATAATGTTAAATGAAATAAATCAGATGAACAAAGTATCACATGGTTTTGATTATGTAAATTAAATTAAGTAAATAAAAGACCAAAATAAAAGGATAATAGGAAACAGAGAGATACATCTTTTAACAAATGGAAAGGGGGCCAAGAGATGGAAGGAAGGAAGAGAGGTAAAGGGGATGAGAACAATTAAGATGTGTTATATACATGGATCAACTCCTTATAATGTCATCATTATGTACTGCAAATGCACTGATAAAAATTTATTTAGAGCAACACAATAGGTTGTAAAAAGTTGGAGAAAAAAAGGAAAAAGCTTTTTATTTTCTTTCTTTTTAAATAAAAGCTCCTGGATTCTCATTTTCACTGGCCCCCATAAATTATGCAGTCAGTCTGGGTACTAGTATTACCACCACTTCACAAAAGTGAACATCAAAGCTCAGTAACTTTCCCAAGATCACATAGCTGCCAAGCAGCAGCACACAGAGACTTACACCCATGAAGACAGAGAACTCTACGGTCTTAAAGAGCTTTAGTCTAAGAATTAGGAGATCTCTAACTTCACACTATGGCCATGGGCAAGCTGCCCACTATATGTCTCCTTTTCCCCAAGTGAAAGCACTCTGTAAAGTTTTCCAAGGTAGTACAGGCTCTGAGATTTGCTTTTGTCATTTAGACAGGCATAAAGGAATCACCTTCGCACCCCACCTTCCCTAGAGCTTCCAGGTACATTTAGCACAAGACAGCCACCCACACTGCATGACACTTCACGGCTCACAAAGTACTTTCATGCCACTCCTTCCCCCAGACAACACTGAGCAGAAGGCAGGGTGGGGATGTTTTTATCCCCATTTCACAGACAGCAATATTAAAGCATGAGAATTGTAAAAATGACTCACACTGCTTTCAAGCAAGTTTTGAATAGGTTACAGGGCCCTACAGGTGCAGAATCACATGAATAACACCCACAAAGGAAAAGCTAGGTTGCTACTTTGGGAAGTCCTGCTATGTGAGGGCAGCATGGGCCTCTCGGGACAGCGGCCCTAGCTCTGAAGGATCTGGTTGGATCCCATCCCTTGAGGCTCCCAGGTCCAAGAGAGGAGGTCAGAGAGCTATCCTAGAGCTCCTGAAAGAAAAGAAATACCAGGTCAGCAGTGTTCAAAGGGTGACTCAGCATCTGAGGATGTTTGCCCGGTACAAGAGAGGTATAATCTCCAGGACATAAACAAGCAGACAGATGGAGGAATAAACAGGGATGGACAGAGAATCCCAGCACAAGCACTGGCCTCTCCTCTCATGCCCCGCCCACTAACCACTCCTGAAGGAGGTCACCACCTAAAGAGAGGGAACATCAGGTTAACCAAAAGTCGTTGCAGGTGGGTGGTCCTGGGTTCCTCAGTCCCTGTTACCTCTGTAAGAATATAGCATCTACAACACAGAAGGGTCATTCACTGGACAGCCATCTCTCTGCCTGCAGATTCTGGTGGCCACTCACAGAGTGAGTCTCTGAAATGGTTCTGGAAATCTAGAGCCTCACCTGTCCATTCCCAACCCTTCAGGGAAGTACTAGCACTCAACTGTCCAATAAAACTTTCTTTGATGTTGGAATCATACACATAGCTACTGAGCACAGTGGTCAGTGATACTAAAGGGAACCAACTTAATTTGTTTTCTTTTATTTTAAGTTAAACATACATTTTAGTTCTGTGTGTGGCTAGTGGTTATTGTATGTGGGCATCATAGCTCTAAAAACAAAAAAGGACAGTAAAAATGGAACATCTGCACCACAATTCGGGATTTCAAAAACACTGGCACAATCATCTTTCTATTGTCCTGTGAATTAAGTGTTTATTCTCATTTTACATGGAGGAAAACCAAAGCCCAAAACAGTTAAATGGCTTCCACTGACAGAGCTAGGGTTAGAAATGTGATTCAATCCCAGATCTCCTGATTCCAAAACTCCATCTACATCTCTATGCAACACCGCCCATTTGTGTAATCATCACATATTTATTGGGTCATTGTTGTTAGCTGCCTACCTCTGTGGTACACAACAACAAATCAGACATAGGCCCAGGCTTTGGATGGAATCCTGAGACAAAGCAGTGTAATTGCCACAATAAAAATGTGGGTATAAAAATTGCTTTAAGTGACTTTCTTCCAAACAAGTGAAGGCACTTCACTTTAAATACCATTTACATCTGATGAGTCCTTAATTTACAGTATATTTCAAGCCCCAGAACTGCCAATGGCTATAGCAAGAAGCCTATTGGACATTTTTATTTGAATGTCAAACTGGCTTCTCAAGCTTGCCCCAAACATTCCCCTCCCATTACATGCCAATGCCCTCTTTCCAGTTGTTCTACTTCAGATTGTTCCATCATAGAATCACCCACGACTCTTTTTTGTGTCCTGTCTTTCATCTAAACTATTAGCAAATGTTTTCTCTATCTCTATTTTCAAGAAACTTCCAGAATGTTCCCCATCTCTACTGCTTCCACCCTTACCTATCATCTCTACCTGGACTAGGGCAAATTTGTCTCCTGTGTCTCTGGCTCTTCTTGATTCTTTTTTCTACACGGTAATCAGAGGGATTTTTTTAAAAACTGGAAAGCCATAGTATGTCCCCTCTCAATTTACAGTGCCCAGTAGTTTCCTAAAGTCTTTACATACAATCCTACAAGGTCCGGTCCTGGATGCCTCCTCTGACCTCTTTTCCTTTGCTCTTCTTGCTTTTCAGGTCCAACCACACCAGGTCTTGCCGGTGAGTCTTTCCTGCACTCATCGCAAAGCTCACTCCCAGGTTCTTCAAGACCTCTGATCAAAGGTCCATTTACCATAGAGGCACTCCTCATCAACCTTATCAAGTTTCAGTTTTCCTCATAACATTCATCACTTCCTGACATTTAATATATTTGTTGGTTATTGCTCTCCTACCACTAGAGTGCAAGCTGCAGGAAAAAATGGACAGATACAAGCAGGATTCTCAGTTGAATTTGAGTTTCTGGTAAACAAGTCATTTGTCAGTAGGAGGATGTCCCAGATGTTGCATGGAATTTATTTATATTTTTTTAAATTTCACTGTTTACCTGATATTCAAACTGTACTGGATGTCCTGTATTTTCATTTGTTAAATCTGGCAACCCTATTCTGGAAGGCAAGGACAATGATTATTTTGCTTAGTGCTGTGTCCTCAGCGCTAGGGCAGCTCCTGAAATGTTGCCCTCAATAAACATGTGTTGAATGAATGAATGTGGTCAACCAGATCATTAATCTGAAACGCGTCTAAACTTTTAATAAACAACCTGGGAGTCAGAGGGGTGGAGCCTCTAGGCTGGCTTCTCCAGACCTGGTTCCTCGGTAAACATAACCCTGCCTCGCCTCGGGCGAGCCTCAAGTTTCCTTATACCCACCTCAGGGCGGAGCCTCCCTCAACGCCGGCCAGACACAGCCCTCGCTAGAGCCGGGCCCCTTTAACGCCCCGCCTCCCACCACCACTCGTGTCCTCTGTCGTGACGTCATCAAGTGAGCGACCAATGGGGTCGCGTCTTACTGACAGGCGGTGCCGGCGGCAGCTGCCAAAGGGGAAGTGAGCTGTGGCCGGAGCAATGGCCCGGGTCTGGAGCCTGCGGCCGTCGCCTCCACCAGCGCTTCAGGAGCGGCCAGAGCCGGAGTAGGGGCTGGAGTCGCAGCTACAGTGGAAGCTGCGCGTGTGAGTTGCGGAAGTCGCCCTTCCAGACACTTCAAACTAAGCGCTTGAAGAGGGCAGAGTGGCAGTCGCCCCTTCAGCACTGTCCCTCCACCCCCGCGCCAGGCCCGGACTGGCAGGGCTGGGGTCTCCCAGGAGCGGTGCTGGCTCATCTCAGGCCGAAACTTCCGAGCCGAGCTCCTTCAAACTCAGGACGGAAGCCAAGGAACGGTGATCTTCCCTAACCCCAATTGGCTTCCTAGTCGGGCATTTTCTCCGCGCCAGGCAGTGTCTGGGTTATAGCAGCTAGACACCACCACACACACACACACCGCTGCCACCTTTGCGTTGTAGCGAATAGACACCACACACACCGCTGCCACCTCTCCTACCAGGGACTGGCGAGTTCCAACTGTCGTACTCTATTACTCTCCCTTCTCCCATTCAAGAACACGTTTCTTTTTCTCTGCGTTGAAAATCCTGTCCCAGAAGTCCAAAGTACATATCCTGTGTGTTCCCTAGCTCCTAGATCACTGTTAGAAATATTACTGAACTTAACAAAGCTGTGAATCTTTCATTCTTCGCTTCGCTTTTCTTGGCTTTTTTACCCTTTCTGCATTCTTAACTGACACTGCATGCCCAGAGTTTTATACATTTCAGTCACCAATTCCTTGGCGATCTTGTGTGACTTCCCCCACTCATTTGAGTTCCAGTTTCCTCTGAGTTCCAGTTTTCTCTGGGCTCTCTTCTCCAGCTTCCAGCGGATCAGGTCAGTCCCACCTCTGGGTGGGAGTGACCAGGGGGGCTCTGGCCCAGAATTTCTCACCCTGGAAGGCAGCTCCAAGACAGCAAAAGAACTGGGCGTCGGGTACGAACCTGGCAGCTCAGGAGTGGGTGCTCCACTAACCCCACACAAGAAGATGAAAAAGCGCAAAGAGCTCAATGCATTGATCGGTTTGGCTGGAGACAGCCGGAGAAAGAAACCCAAGAAAGGCTATAGCAGCCACCGCCTGCTTCGCACTGAGCCTCCTGACTCAGACTCCGGGTCCAGCTCAGAGGAGGAAGAGGAATTTGATGGAATTGGAAATCGCTCTCGCTTTGTCAAGTAAGTGATGCAGTGGTGAGGGCTAGGATAAAGTGATCTCCTTGCACTACCAACAGAAATTGATGGGAAGAAAAAAAGAGTGTCTAGGAAGAGAAGGAGGTAGACCTTGGAAGGCAAACAGGGAGAAAAGTGTCAGAGGTAAATTGGCATCCTGAATGAAGGGTAAATTAAAGGTCAGTCTTTAGGTGTAAAAGGACAGCTCTAGATCTAGGATGGAGGTATTGGTGTAGGCAGTGTACCAAGGGCCCAGGGCATCAGAATGAGGCTAAGAATAATAGACAGTGGGGCAGAGAAGCTTTCAGGACTAGGCCTTTAAAAGAAAGAAAGAAAGTAGAAGCTGGGCCTGGTGGCCCAAACCTATAATCCTGTAATTCCAGCACTCAGGAGATTGAGGCAGGAGGATTATTGCAAGTTCGAGACCAGCCTGCACTATAAAGTGACTTCAAGGCCAGTGGGAACTGCATAGTGAGACTCTTTAAAAAAAAAAAGAAAGAAAAAGAAAGGGGCTGGGGATTTAGCTCAGTGGCATAAGCGCCTGCCTTCCAAGTGTGTGGTCGTGAGTTTGATTCCTGGTACTGATAAAAAAAAAAAAAGACAAAAAAAAGAAAGAAAAAGAAAAACAGTAGAAGGATAAAGGACCTTAAGATTGCTAATTATTTTTTATACTCTTAATAAATCTAAATCTTGGTGATGGGGGACTACGATGAGATACATACCATAGAAAGTATGGGCCTTGAGAGTAACTAAGGAGTGAGGGTAAAAGAAGCAACTTTTTCCCAAACCATTTTTAGATGATGTTGGGAATCAGGTTTCAGGTTGGAAGGGGCGAAAGGCAACCTTGAAGGTGTCCTTGGTGGAAGCAAGGACTAGCAGAAGATTGTGGTACTAAAAGAGGTTGGATCTTTGTTATTTATTTACAATATCTATATCTTTTTAGGTTAAAGAGTTTGGTTTCTAATGAACTTTGCCAGATTAAGTATATAAGGCCAATTTTGTGTATGATGTATGAAGGTTTGTTAATTCTGAAATACCCTCTTGAGTTAGATGTTCAAGGCTAGATTAGTGTGAAATCTCACTTGTTTCTGTTTCCTTCCTTCTGAGTCAACAAACTAGAGCAGTGGTGGAGAACCTATGGCAAGGATGCCACAGCTGACTGATATCATTGAAACCTCTAAAAGGTTTGCCATTACTGAGCTATAGGGTACCAGGTGTTCCTAAAACTTAGAGATTCTGTTTCTTTCTTTCATTACATTTGCAGTTAAGACTTGCTCAGAAGTTTGTGAGGTTTCAAAAACTGAGAAAGCATGTGTTTGAGAGAAATAGATACATTACAGTGCAGTGATGGAATTGCAAAGAACTGCTAGTTTTTACATTTTTCCAACTGAGCTTGTCTCAGAAGGCTTCTCTGTTGAATTAATGAGGATAGTGGTCTGCAAGGCCCAAAGATGTTTCCCGTGGCCCATAGGACCTCTCATGAAGTTTCACATAAAGTTTAAAACCTTCATACTGAATAGAAATTTTAATAGATCGTATTATGTGTTTAGTTAACCTTTTACTATTTAAAGGTAAGTACATTATCCGATTTGCCCTGGTAAACCTACTGGCCATTCATTAGAGAAGATAATTGCATGGCAACATATATATACGGTTTCTATAAAACTGTATTCATGATCACTTTCATACTGATGGTTGGATTTGTTCTTTTTATAGGGGAGACTATTTACGATGCTGCAAGATCTGTTATCCCCTCTGTGCTTTTGTCATCCTCGCGGCCTGTGTTGTGGCCTGTGTTGGCTTGGTGTGGATGCAAATTGCTCTCAAGGAGGATCTTGATGCCCTCAAGGAAAAATTTAGAACAAGTAAGTGGTCTCCTCCTCATCTTTTTCTTCCTTTTTCTTTTTTAAAATCCATTTTCAATAGCCAGGGATTTAGCTCAGTGGCATAAGCGTCTACCTGGCAAGTGCAAGGTCATGAGGTCGATCACTAGTGCAAAAAAAAATCCATTTTCAAAGAAAAAAAAAAGAAAACCAAATTTTAAAGCATGTCATTCAGGGGTTAACAGTGGTACATATATTGCACATTGTCATCCCCAAACCTTTCACCCAGAGCACAAGATAGGATACCTTTCCAAAGCTTAATCTTGAACTCTTTTTTTTTTTTTTCCTCACATCCTAGGACAAATTATATATTCTTATCAGCATTTTTATCCTCATTCTCAGCTGTCAGCTTGAATGGTATAACAATTATTTGGGTTTTTTTTTTTTTTATTTGTTTTGGTTTTTTTGGCTTTTTGAGACAGAGTCTCGCTATGCAGTTCAGGCTGGCCTTGAGCTCACTTTGTAGCCCAGGCTAGTCTCGAACTCACAATGATCCTCCTGCCTCAGCCTCCCCAGTGCTGGGATTACAGGCGTGAGCCAACACACCTGGCTCAATTATTTGCTTTTAAACCCATAAGCAAAGACAGTTCTCATGTACCACCAGGACAAGTAGTATCTGAGATAGAGTGTCACTATATAGTTTAGACTGGCCTTGAACTTGTGGCAGTCCTCCTGGGATCCCTAGTGCTAGGATGACAGGCATGCCCTACCATGCCTGCCTTAACCTCTAAAATAATGAGGACTCTTGGAGTGCTTCAGGAAGACTTAGAAGGGAAGTGCTTCAGAAGTCTAGAATTTTGGTTAACCGTCACCTGTGACGTGGCAACACTGGACTGTTTCCTTTTTCCAGTTGCAAAAGAATGTAGGACTGTCAAATGATTTCCACTTAAACACCATGTAGGACATAGGAATGAGCACTACTAGTAATGGTAATAGTCAACATATGTGGAATGCGTATTATGTGCCAAGTCACGAATGAATTATTTTATTCCAAAAACAGTCCTGTGAAATGAATATTTTTTATCATTTTTGTATTCTTAAAAAAAAAAAAAGAGTTGCCAGATTTGGCAGCACATGCCTATAATCCCAACACTTGGGAGACTTAAGGTAGGAGGATCGCTGCAAGTTCCAAGGCCAACCCAGAGAACCTCTCTCAAAATACCAGGAGAAAAAAAAAGGCTTCGAAAGATTAAGTGACGTGTTAAGTGACTAAGTATGCAAAGTTGAGACTTGTTTATAGATGCCCTCTTGCCCCCTTGCCCAGGACTGTGTTTGTAACAGTTATTATAGTGTATCACTGTTCACAGTGGCTATGTAAGCATACACACATTTCTTCAAGTGCTTACAGATTTTGTTGCTGTCAGCTTGGGTCAATAGTCTAAGAGAAGACTAGTAGAAGTACTGGAAGAGCTTGTCTTCTGCACATTAGCATTCAAGCACCATGGAAAAACTAATAGATTTCTCAAGCTGAGTATGATGACACATACCTGTAATCCTGAGGCAGGAGGAGTGCTTCAAAGACAGACTGGGTTACATAGTGAGTTCAAGGCCATCCTGGACTACATAACAAGGAAAAAAGAAAAAACCATTTCTCTCCTGTCTTTAGCTACACTTATTTGTCTTTCAAGGGAAAAACCTTGCCATTAATGAGTATTACCATTTTGAAGTTTTAGAAAACCTTTGTGACTCTTTGAACTAAATTGCATAAACTACTAAAGTTATGTACTAAAGTCAGTAACCACAGTAGTGTCTATCCTAAGCACTATACAACTGGCAGAAATTTTGGTCTTATGAGTGTGTTTTAAGGTTTAAGAGATGTTTTGTTACAAAGTATTATATATTCTAATTGTAGTTTGCATGTTTCTGAAAGATATGTTTACATGATAGCTTCAACCAAATTTAACCTAAATATCATTTTTAAAAATGTAACACTGAACTTTTCATTTCTAGATTTCAAGGGTTAATTTTCTAAGGTAAGGAACTAGTTTCAACTTAATCATAGATACCTTAACCTCAGTAGCATTGGCATCCCAGAAAACGCCTCAGACTTTGTCAAGATCATAAAGAAATCTAGCCCCAGAACTGGAAAATTCTTCCCATCCTGAGCCTCAGAGATCATAATATCCTACCTTTTTTTTACTCCAGCTTCTCTCTGCTGCCTGCAGTTTTTCCAGTTCTAAACCTGACATAGAGGGGAGCTAATCCTTAGTATGTTAGTGCTATTTCTAATGAAGTTGCTTAGGAAAAAAATGTGTAAATACTAAGATTTTCTTCAGAGTTTCTGATTCAGGGAATGTAAGTGGGGGACCCACAATTTTCTGTCAGAATCATTCTGACCTGTGTGTTTTGTCAACCAGTCAAATCAGAGCACAGTGCAAGGAAAGAATAATATTTGTACCTTGTAGTTTTTTCCTACTCACATGTCTGTTAATGCAGTATTGCCAGTGTTTCTAGGTCCAGTCTTTTGCGTTCATGTAAATAGTAATCGTAATTTGGAAATGAAGTTCTCGAAACTAGTTTTTAACCAAAAGTAACCACTGAACCATCAACTCTCCATAATTAGTTGGACTTCCTAAGCTTGTGCCACAGCTTTTTTTTGATCACATATAGCAGGTATATATTTGTACATTTCAAAGCATTCCTTAATTCTGCCTTCTAGGGATTCTTTTCTCTGCTTGCTGTGTGTCTATGTTTACAGAATACCCAGATAATGTATACATTAGCAGAGTTTTTCAGGAAATTTTTTTGGAAAATGAAGGACAGGTAGTTTCACTAACAGTCAACAAATATTTTTTGAGCACTCATACCACTTCCTTGAAGTAGTATATTTAAAAATACCAAGTACTATATCTTAGACCCTGGAACCAGCTTTCTACCACTGAGAAACATTCTTCTGAGACCTTTACTACATCTGTCAGCCAGCTGAATAAAATAGACTTGAAATTGTCAATCTAACTTTTATTGGCTTTGATTTGATACAACAGAAAGTGTAGCACCTATAATGTCTAAAAGCAGGACTTTCTGAGGAAAGGTAGAGGATGGGGCATGGGGTGGGTAATAGGCTATACTACTGTAGACTGCGCAAGGTTTTTTATGAAAACCAATTATCTTGACTAAATGGGGTCAATCTTGTTAAGTTTAAATACTTTCTTTGAATTGTGCTTCTACTTTAAATATATTTCAGTAACTTAATTTTTACCTCTTATTTCTCAAGGCGACAGGGAATTCATTGACAGTTACAAATTTAAGGCTACCTGCTTCTCTTGCTTTAATACCTTTTTGAAAAATTCAGACGCCATTTTTATTTATTTCAAAACTTTTCCCAAGGTAGTTGGTAGGAAAAGAACAGAGATTGCCAAAATACTTGAAATAGAAAGCAAAACAGATAGGCTTGACATTTTCTTTGCAGCCAAGAAGTAACTGAATCCTTAAGTTAAAATTACTGGCTGATTTTGAGACTCTTAGCTCACTCTTCTGTTTCCAGAATCAGGTACTTCTGAAGACCTCCACAGTTATCCTCAGGAAAATTCTATTCCCAGCCATCCCTCACTGTAACTCAATTATGAAACATCAGAGTAAAGGAAACAAATTTGAAACAGAAAGACAGTATTAATATATCAAGCATGTTCTTTTCTGACCATATAGGCACAGTGGTGGTTTGATCATTTAGTATAGACTTTAAACATTGTCTTGTGCTAATATGGGAATGGGCAAGTGTGTGACATCAGGAATATGCTAAAAAGAGAAGGTCCTACAAGCAGAAGTTTCATCTGTTTGAATCCTGGCGTCTCATTCTTAACTACAAAATCTAGACAAGTCTTTTATTCCTTTGGAATCTTCATTTTCTTATCCATAAGACATAAAGATGTATATTTACCATAAAGCACTTTGAGTAGTCCTCTGTTTGAACGCCTGTTACAGTATATAACCCTCACTTCCTCTCTAGACTGAGAACTTCAAGGTCTTTTATATACCTGGTGCCAAATGCACAGTTGGGAACAAGGTCAGAGCTCAATGACAAATTACTGAAAAGGTTTATTGAAAACTGTAAAATAGCAGGTGGTACACACCTATAATCCCAACACTTGGGAGGTTAGGGCAGGAAGATTACTATAGGTTTGGTATCAGCCTAACCTCAAGATCCTTCTTAAAAAGAAAAATCCTAGAAAGACATTAGATAAATATAAAATATGCTATTGGCATTGTATATGTTTTGTTTAAAGGGTGTTTATAGAAATTTCTATTTCCTAATCCTAATGATTAGGAAATCTTTTGAGAATTAACTTGCTAAGCATTAAATGAGCTGCTTTCCTTGCTGAAAGAACATTTATTGGCAAGTTGTGTGTGGTCTATACTTCCTCTCAATTATGTAATAAAAGTACCTGGACTTGACTTGTCTCTCCTAAAACAGCCCAATCACATAACGATTATGAACCCCCTTTGGCTCATTCATACATTAGTCAAGGTCCAGAGTGTTTTAAGAGCTTATCAGCTTTATATAGTTATTAGTTAATTATTATAACCCAGGTTATTTGTGTTTGTCTTATTTCCTCTTACACTTTTACCTTCTACTTCAAACAGACTTCAGGAAGAGGAGAGACGTTTTGGGATATGTGACAACCTGAATATGGCACACACCCATGGGATGAGTTTTTCTTTACAATCTAGCTGAAATGTGTAAGAAATTCAGTGACATGCCTAAGAGCTGCGTTAGTTTAGACTGAGTGGTAAAACGTTCTCACTATCTGAGATAAATATATTCCTGAAAACTATATGTAAATCATATACTACATTAAAAGCACTTAGGAAAGTCTACTTATAATTAAATCCTTTAGCAAGTTTTTTTAATGAACAAAAATACATAACATTCTTAATTTTCATTTAGTGGGCTCAAAAACTCACCACCATCAATTTTTGTGAGTTTTTTGTGTGTTATTATTAAGCATGTTTATCTAGGTTTATTTGTTGAGATTTTATTAGATTGAAGAAGCATATAAGGTGATTAGAAATGTGGTTAAGAGATAAACAAAGATTTGTTCAGGAGACAAATATTTGTTGAGTGCCTAAAATGTGCCAAATGTATTCTAAATGCAGAATATATAGAAATAAACAAGACCAAATTTTAGAGCTTACATTTTAGTAAATTGCTTTCTATAGGGCCTTAATGCCAGTTTTTGGTATTAAAGGAAGCATATAACTAATCAGGTAGACTGTGACTTTTTTTTAAAAAATGGTCCAGATTTTATTCTGGAGGACCAGCCATTATCAATATTTTATTTTCCATTAAAAGGAAAAATGATTTTTAAAGAAAAAAGAAAAAGCACTCTCTTAGGTCTCTGCCTTCAGGCTGGCAAATCTCTAAACCATTCAAGAAATGTTGTTTCCCAAAGAAAAGTCCAAATGTCACTCAGTATTTCACTAGCATGTTCTTTATCTTCTATTTCATCTTGAACTTTGGGTTGATTTTTAAATTTAAGAAAACATTATTTGCTTTTTGAGAAAGAGATTAAAAATACTAATCTTCATAATGATATTTGAAAAGTTATAAGATCCCTTGCAGTTAATCCATTTAAATCTAAAAATAGATTTAAGAATTTGGAAATATAATGTCATTTACCACTAATGAAATTTATAAATCATTAAGAAGTTCCTTAATTAAACTAATCAGTATTTTTTATCACTTACTATATGTCTAGTCAGCTACATTAAGTGATTTACAGACATTCTAACAATCATATTATAGATGAGGAAACTTGAGTTCAAGGAACTTGAATAATTTACTCAAAATCATAGTAAGCTATGGAGTTGAAATTCAAATCTAATTCTTTCTGCTCATATTCTTTGCTAAAATTTTTAGTCGCCTAACTAAAATGTTGTATTGCCACTAGTCAGATGGCTCCAGTTAAAATAATTCAGTGTTAAAAGATACACATTTGTGTAAATAAAAGGATGATGTAGTTGATAAATATAAATGTAATCATTGTTGTACAAAATTAACTAATACATATGCTTTCTTACTATATGCTCTTTTTTTTTATCTTGGGACCCTGAGGGAACTTTGTGTATGTTTATGATTTTTCTTGTGTTTGCTTTTAGTGGAATCTAATCAGAAAAGCTCATTCCAGGAAATCCCCAGACTTAATGAAGAACTTCTCAGCAAACAAAAGCAACTTGAAAAGATTGAATCTGGAGACCTGGGCTTAAACAAAGTCTGGATCAACATCACAGAAATGAATAAGCAGGTAGCAAAAGTGTGTTTTTTTAATTTGTATGTAAGCAATGAATATTTGATTTGATTGGTTGGGTTTTTAGTTTGAATTTGTAGGTGCAGGGAATTCATTTTAGGGTGTTCAACTTTTTTTTTTTTTTTTTTTTTTTTTTTTGGTCCTGGTGATCAAACTCATGACCTTGCACTTGCCAGACAGGCACTTACACCACTGAGTTAAGTCTCTGGCCCAGGGTGTTTGACTTGTTAAACTGTGATTTTGTCTACTATGATCCCAACATGTTAAAATACATAACAGTTATACATTTACCAGATATGTAAAATGTTAACCCTTTCTGCAAATAAACAGTTCTACCAAGTTAAAAGCAATGTAGAAAGTTGGAAATTCTTGAGTTAGCTTTTCCTATGGAACAATATGGGTATCAAATAAGAGTATCATCTAGCCCCCAAGAAAATGGATAGACCATTTTTATTAAACAATGAAGATTTTTTTAATATTGTTAACAAACTTACAGATACAGCCTTATATTATAGTGCTATAAGCTATACTAAAACAAATATGTAAAGCATAGTAGCTAATAGTATACATTCTAGAATATCTTAGGAGCAGGTGATAAAGTTAGTTAATTACCTTGACCAGGCAAGCAAGCCTAGAGTATAAACTTTTCTGATCCCTAAATTAGCCAGAGCTCAGTAGGCATCACTTCCAGATGAGTCTGCCAGAACAAAGGGATTTTATTCTAAGGATTTTGACAAAGCACTTCTTCTGTATAAGGGACCATACTTGCCCTGTACTCATTTTTTTGTGTAGTTAGTAAAGATATGGTCACTGAAAACAAAACTCACGTACCAAATAAGCAATATGCATGCAAGTGCTGTTAAGAGTGAGCATGTCATTTTTGATGGGACTAAGAAGGTATTCTCTTCTTCATAGTAGAGTTACAAAGTTCAAAATGAGCCAGAAGGGAAGAGCACTGTGCTAGAAGAAAGTGCTTGCAAATGTTTCTGAACTATATACTTTTCAGTAATGGTTTGAGAGTGAGATAGTTCAGTACTTCAGACCATGAATCAGTGCTCTGGGAAAGTAGCTTCCAACTTTTGCATGGAACCCACAGAAAAGAGTGTTTTAAAAATTATCCAGTGGACATGTATATATCTATATGCAGTAGTTGAATGTGTCCCCCCAAAATTCATGTGTTGGACAGCTTAGCGGCACAGTGCCTGCCTGGCAAGTATGAGATCTTGAATTTAATTCCCAATAGTGAAAAAAAAAAGTTCATGTGTCAGAAATTTAATCTCCAGATTCATGTGTTATTAGTAGTTGGAGATGAATCTTTTGGGTGGTAATTAGAATTGAGTCATAAGGATGGGCCCTCTTGATGGCATCATAAGAAGCAGAAGAGAAAATCAGGCTGACTACTGCTGTCCCTTACTGTGATAAAACAAGAGGGTCCTCAGTAGATTCTGGTGCCATGTTCTTGGATGCCTCAGCCTCCATTACCATGAGCTAAATAAAGTTCTGTTCCTTATGAATCACTCAGTGTATAGTATTCAGTTGCAGCAACAGAAAATGGACTAAGATACTAGGTATTATTGAAATAAAAATTTCTGAAAACAGAAACACTATGTATAATGTCTTTTGACATTTCATTATCTTTTAGTTTAGTTTGCTTTTTAAAATGATGCATGAAGTTCACTGCTATAGTCCCAGCAGTATCTCTGGAGGCTGAGGCAGAAGTATCTTAAGTTCCAGGCCAGCCTTGTTACATCTCAAGTTCAAGGCCAGGCTGGGCTACATCACAAGTTTAAGCCCAACTTGGACTAGATAGTGAGACTGTCTCAAAAAAATTTGAGAGAATAAAAATTTTATTTGTGAAATAATTGATTGTAATATCTGTAAGAATGCTGTTGATATTTTAAGATTGCATTAAATCTACATAAGGTAAATCCTTGGTTTGTGAGCATAATTCATTCCAGAAACATGCTCATAACCTAAAACATTTATATATCAAAGCAATTTACTCATAAGAAATAATAGAAACTCAGGTGATTTATCCTACAACTCAAAAATATTCATATAAAAATGATTACAATACTGTAGTATAATGCAAAACAATAAAACACAAAATATAAAGAAAAATAAATTAACCTGCATTTACCTTTAAAAAATTTTGTGGTGGGGGCTGGGGATTTAGCTCAGCGGCATAAGCACCTGCCTTGCAAGCAGGCAGTCGTGAGTTCGATCCCTGGTACCGATAAAAAGGAGAAAGACAAAAAAAAAAAAAAAAAAAACTTTTGTGGCTAGTGTGAGACAGACAAGAGAGTAAGGGGTTATTGTGTACCATGACTTGCAGAATCACTACCTATTGGCTCAAAGGAATCTTTTTCCTTCCATGCAGGTTTAACAGGAAATCTGTCCCTTTTGAGGATTTCACAGAAATGTGACATTGCATTGTTAAACAGATTTATCACTCACACTGCTACAGGGTTAAATGGGTGGTGCTTTCTAGAAAACTTTGCAGGTTTATATATTTAACTCGTTTCCCAATCTCATTTTAAGTGAGGGATTTGTCTGCATTTTTCTCCTCCTCGGCAGCTAAGACCTCCTCCATGACCCCTTGCTGTTGGAGATGATCATCCACAACCCCACAGGGGAGTATGGGATTGGGAGAAAAGAACCATTAACTGATCTGTGATCATGTAACATTCAGTGTCATAGCAAGACATCACTCCTTTATCAAGTTAAAATATATTAGAGCCAAGTGTGGTGGCACATGCCTGTAATCCCAGCACGTGGGGATCTGAGGCAGATTCAAGCCTGGTCTGAATTACAAATGATACCCTATATAAAAAAAAATTATTATAAATGTTTGCTCATCTCACAGAATACTCACAGAACAAGTTACAATCTAAAGGTTTTACTGTATCAGTTTCGATAGTATGACCATTTTGACATTATTAATTCTGCCTATCCCGGAACAGAGGATAACTTGCCATTTTCTGATGTCCTCTTAGATTTCCTTTTTCAGAGTATTGTAGTTTCCATTGTAGAAGTCTTTCACTTCCTTTATTCAGTTAATTCCTAAATATTTAATTTTTCTTGAAACTATTGTGAATTATTGCAAAAAGTACCTGGATATGGAAGTATAGAGGGAAATTTACATCAGTCCTAAGTCTTTATATATTAAACTGGGGAAGAATGGACTAAAATGCTCTTCATTTTGGCCTCTGCATCATGCTGGCTCCATCAGTCAGATGCTAGGACTGACTGATGGAGCCAGCATGATGCAGAGGAATTTTCTGCTGGTATGGACTCAGAAAGATAGGCAATAGGTAAGCAAAGTTTCATGTTTGCAACAGGAAGTTCTGCACTCTGAGTGGTTTTCTAAATTTAATGCTACACATACATCTGTGGTGGTCCATTTGAGTAAGAGGCATTTCAACAAAAATCGATACAAAAATAAAATGAGTATTTAATTGTTTCTATACCTAGAGATAACTGTCAGTTATGATGCTTTTATTGGCATTTTTGAAAGCATTTCAAAGTGGCTTACACAGCAAGCAAATATATCACTTACAAGAACCCTTCTTATCACATGTGAGTTAAAGATAATACAGTCTGAAAAAAGCCATTAGTTCAAAAAAAATTAAATCAAACTTCCATGGGAAAATTTCTTAATAGCTAAAATTTTATTATATTTTTATTCATGAAACCTCTGTATTTTGGGGTTTTTTTTGTTTTTTGTTTTTTGGGGGTTCTTTGTTTCTTTGGGTATTTTGGGGGGGTTGCTACTGAGGATCGAATTCAAGACCGTATACTTGCCCAGTATGCGCTTATGCTAAATCCCTGGCCCAAAACTTCTGATTTTATACTCAATCCTCCCTCTCTACCATATAAGGAGTTTTCTCCCCTTTCCTTGAAGATCATTAATTCAACTAATGTTTATTAAACTACTTCTTTAGATCTAGGCTTTGGATTCTTAATCCATTCAGGCTATTATAATGAGTAAGTAACATAAACAACACAAGTTTATTGCTTATGTTTCTGGAGGCTTAGAATTCTGATTTCAAGGTACCAGCAGATTTAGTATCTGGCAAAGGTTCATATCATACTCTGCTTCATTCATTGTGCCTTCTTACTATGTCCTGAAATAGCAAAAGGAGAAAACAAGCTTCTTTAGGCCTCTTTTATGAGGATGTCTAATCCTATCCATAAGGGTGAAGCCCTCCCATATCATACCTCAAAGGCTCTGTGTCTTAATGACACCACATTGGAGATTAGATTTCATGTGAATTTTAAAGGCATGAACATTCAGACCATAGCAGATTCTAAAGCAAAATGATATGCTGTGATTCCTTCCCACAAGGGTCTTACAGTCAAATGGAGGAAATAGGATAGTAAACTAGAATAAACAGCCTGATAAACAATAAAATACAGTCCAAATGAGTACTGTAAGGGCATATTTATATATTCAATCAGTCTGGACTCTGATGAGGAAGTTTCCTAGAAATGCTGAACAAAGTCCTGAAAGACAAACAGGAGTCTACTAGTTGAATTCTGCAGAAAGAGAGAAGGATGCTTGCACTAAAACATAAGTATAGCTGATCCTCTTAATTTTTGAATTCTATATTTGAAAATTCATCTGTTCCCTAAAATTTACTGGTAGCCCCAAAATCTATACTTAGGAGCCTTTGTAGTCACTCACTGATGGAAAAATTTTACTTACCCAACACATGTTTACAGCTGAGGTCAAACTAGATGACAAGCTGCCTTCTTGTATTAGGTCTCATGCTGTAAACAAGTCTTTTGTGCTATACTTATATTCAGTAACATTTTTCATATTTTTGTGCTTTCGGTTGATTATTTTGCCATTTAAATGTCTCTCACAACAGCGCTAAAGTACTAGCTAGTGTTCCTAAAGGGAAGGAAACTGAGATGTGCCACATAAAGAAAATACATATGTTAAATAGATTCCCTTCAGGCATGATGTAATTCAGTATTAATGAGTCAGTACT